AGGCTAGCTCCATGCCCGAACAGCAGCTTTTCTCACGACCACTAGTGATTATGCCCATTTCTGACAAGGGCTGAATAATCCCTGCTAACCAGGCAAACCAGACATTAAAAAAAATGCATCTCACCATCAGTTCTCTCAGTTGCTCAAAACTCTGGCTTTGGAGACTGCATAGCACACCCTGGTAACTGCTTTAACACCCAAAATTAGAAAGGCAGAGAGTAAAATACAACAGTTTTGTTTAACAGCACAGAAAGAGAAGTGTCACTTGTCACCAAGAGGCGGCCACTGTGCAGTCATAGAGATCACTGGATGAAACAAATAACCCTTACCAGCCGTGTACTCTGAAGATACTTTGTGTTGGTGCCCCAAAATAACTCCAAGATCCGAAGCTGTGTGACTGCCAGAAACTAGCTGAAGGCACCCAAGACTTCATCTGCTGTTATGCTGCAACTCATTTGCAACATCCAGAACTGCTCTGAACTAGCTGGCTGAGGCAGTGCTAGCAGAGCAGTTTATAAACTTAGTGATAAATTCTTCCTGAATGTCTGTGCTTATTTCTCTGCTTGTGCTGCTGCAGAAGGTGCAGCAGTCCAACGGCAGGTTCTGCCTCCCCTAGCAACTGGCACTGCATTGATGTAATTGAAAGCAGAAATTCCCACACTGTATCCTCTTCAATTCCTGTTTGGACTGTGACTTAGGTGACAACTCATTAGTTTTGTGAATTTGCCTAGTGGATCAATGCTATGTCACCTTTTATGTGTAGCTGACTAGATTCAGACAGGAGTGGAGAGACTGAACTACTGGACAGGCTGGTGCAAGTCACTTGTGGAGTTCTGCAGGACTTCCTCCCTGCCCAGTTCTCTTCAACCTAACTAACATCTTGGATGCAGGACTCAAAGGAATATTAAATAAGTTGGCAAATGACACTAAATTGGGAGGAGCTGTTGACTCTTTCGAGGGCAGAGAGGTCCTGCAGAGAGATCACAACAAATTAGAGATGGGCGATCACCAACCAAATGAAGCTTAACGAGGGAAAGCGCCAGACTGTGCCCCTGGGGCAGGGCAGTCCTGCTTGTGTGTATAGAATGGGGAATAGAGGCAGCATTGCAGAAAGAGACCTGGGGCTCCTGGTGGATGGCAAGCTGAACACGAGCCAGCAGTGCCCTGGCAGCCAGGAGGCACCAGACAGCCTGGGGTGTCCTGGGGAATCAGGCACAGCATCACCAGCTGGACAAGGGAGGGGATTGTCCCCTCTGCTCTGCACCGGGCGGCCTCACCTCAAGTGCTGGGGGCAGTTCTGGGTGCCATGATATAAAACAGACATTAAACTGTTAGAGACCCTCCAAAGAACGGCTGCTAGGATGGTGAAGAGGCTGGAAGGACAACCTTATGAGGATTGGCTGAGGTCACTTGGTCTGTTCAGCCTGGAGAAGAGGCTTCACTCTCATGACCAGCAACAGGACTTGAGGAAATGGCATGAAACTGAGTCAGGGCAGGTTTAAGTTGGATATCAGGAAAACACTTTTTTATTCAGAGGGTGGTTGGGACTGGAAGGGGCTCTTCAGGGAAGTGGTCACACCACCAAGACTGTCAGAGCTCACAAAAGGTCTGGACAACCCTCTCAGGCACATGGTGTGACTCTTAAGGTGTCCTGTGCAGGGCCAGGAGTAGGACTCAATGACCTGAAGAGTGTCTTCCAAGTCAGCATATTCCATGACTCTATGATAACTTACACCCTAGGATAAGGTTGAAGCTGGCCAGTGCTGAGCTTCTGAAAGAAGCACAGACATGCTTTTGACAGAAACTTTAGGAACTGAGCTTGCATTGGATGTAGTCATGATCCCTTCAGCTGCTGAGTGTGTGGTTCTACCCACCTGTGTGTGAAAATTTGGAAAAAACTCTTTAGTTATTGTGGCTAGAATGGAATCAATCTAATGGAAATGAAAGCACAGTCAGGACTGAAGCTGATAATATATGAAAACAATATACATGGGAGAAAAACCCTTGTAGCCTAAAAAATTCCCTTTATATTTTTCTTTTGAATACCATTTTAATGAGTTGGTACTGGTCAGGAGAACATCTGTTTCCTCTGTAGTTATAGGCACTTGGTGATAAAGACAGAGCAGCACAAGTTAGTGTACATCCAGGCTGAACAGAAAAGGAGAGAACACAATGCTCGTGTCGTCAGCAGTCCCATACAACCCATCTGTCTGAGAAATAGCTCAAGAAACTGCTTTAGGCTTTTTATCCACTGATGTGCTCCATGCTAAAAATTGTACTCTGGTCCCACTGAGCTTAATGGTTAAAACCCCTCTGAGTTTAACTGGGCAAGATTTATTATAGCACTATGGCACTTAAAAGCAATTCTGTCTTTTGACTTTTTAATACCAAAAATATTCATTTTCTCAGGCAATCTACCCACCACAGTGTATGGTTTTAAGTCTCTACCACAAATTGCACACTACTTAGTCACAGACATCTCTGCCACAATTGTATGGGACGGTGAAACTATTTGGATGCTTTCAGGATCTGCTGACTGAGATGCTGAGCAGAGCTTGTACTTCCAACACTAATTCCCCACTTGGCCTCCATCCTGCCAGGCTGGATTCAGGTCAAGGTGACATAGACTAAGCATGGATTAAACTGCAGGTATGACCAGCACCATGTGTACACAGCAACAAAACCTCTTCAGATATGCCCCTGGGCTACAGGAGCTTGAGGATCTGTCTAATCTAACAACTATTTTCAGCTTGCTCAACTAAGGCAGCAAAGAAGTCTAAATGAGCTTCCAAATGCAAGATTTCTTCTAACCATACTTAGTCAGTATACTCCTCCAAAGACTGTATCTGCAAAATGGATTGAAATATTTTCCTGGGCTTCTCTATGTATTTTACAGCTCTTTATATTTTATTGCTTTCTTTGTGTGAGGACGAACCTTGCTGTTATGTGAAATGTTGATCTACCCAGAACTAATATAATATGATAGTTAGAGTCACAAACAATCTCTAATACTGTTGATCAAAATCTGCAAGATCTCTAAATGAAATCTCTTTACTTTTACTCGAGCTGCAGTGAACGTCAAGTGTCCCTTAAAGAGACTTTTAAAAAAAATAAACTAGTGACACCTGTAGCTGCATAAATTTCTATTTTTACAAAAGAAAATACCTGCCTGTGTTGTGGGAGATGTTTCAAAAAGAGGAGTTTGCCACTGTTGGAATAATCCTTTTTTTATGCTAAGGTGTTATACTTGTTTCCTTTATGTACTGAGTTAAGAGAAGAGAAATCAAACAAACCAACTTCAGTATGTGGTTCCCCTCTCTCCCCAACAGGATGGCTTCACATTTACTTCTCCCTCATTTTTCCCCTATATTTGTCTAGCAGTATTTAAAGTCTTAATTTTCTAGCTGTTTCTGGCTCTTGCTGTCCAGATCTCTCTTGACTGACCCTCTCATCTCTTTTTGCTGTGTGCATTAGCCCCACTTCTACAAGATCTGCTTTTCATTCCTCCTTCCTTCAGCCATTTCCTCCTTGTGCCCTTGAAGTCCACCTTGATTCTTGCTTTTTCTCTCTTTCTGGGTACTCTGCAAGATTCCCATCTGAGTCACTAGAGCAGCTCTCCTCTGCATCCAGCAGAGGCAGGATGGTCACTGTGAGCCCCATTAGCACCCACACTTCAGAAGCACTGCCATCAGTGAGCAACTGGAATTATCTGACTCAGCGGGTCTCGGAAGGAAATCCTTCTCTGATCTATGTGAAAAACGTGGAGGCAAAAATAAAGTAACACAATTTCCACCATTGTGTTAGCCTCTTAGAAAAAGATTACAAATTGGAAATACTTACACAATAATTATTCCCTGAATTAGCTGGCAAGAAACACCCAACCCTGTCTGTGGATTTTAGTTACCTAAATAATTTTAGATGTTGTAGCTTTTTTGCTGTATCTGCCACAGAGCTCACACCGAGTGATCTAGATCCTTGGTGTCATGTTTCTCATGTAAATGAATTGTTTTCCAATAGTTTATAGCTACGTAATTCTGCTATGAACAGACACTAATAGAACCAAAGTAAAAATCTGTGTCATTCTACCATTTGTGTTAATGCAGACGTAAAAGGGAGAAAGGCTTCTGTCTGTTTGGTCTTAGTTAATATTTGTAGAGCTGATAGTGAAAAAAAAAAAAAAAAAAAAAAAGAAAAGAAAAAAAGAGAGCAAATTGGATACAGAAAATGAGAGTGCAACTCCATGACACTTTCTAGAAAGACTTCTTTGCAGTGTAAAACTGTTTGGATCCATGGCTTTTAATGTTCATCTTTTTAATCAAAATTTGTTTTGAATAAAAATTAATTTTTAATTCCTTGCAGAGTCTTGTGGTGTCATTTACTTCCCTGTGGGTGTACAGTGATATTTCACACGCAGGGCTGCTCGGCCCGCCCGCCCGCCCGGCCGGGCTGACACGGGAGCGCGGAGCCGCCGCCACTGCGCCGTGCCAGTCACGGACTTAAACACTTCATCAGCCCGCAGCCACCCCCGGAGGGACTGCAGCTGGAATCTCCCGTGACATTTGCCTTGGGGTTTGGTGGTTTTTTTGTCACTTTTTCTTTGTGGATGTGCGTGTGTCATCACCAATACCCACCTTCTAATATACCACTTGAAAACAATTTTAATCATTCCACTAGAGGAATGCCAATACCGATCAGGACGTTCAATCTCTTGCTTCATTCAAAGAGATTTTAGAGGGAAAATGAGGATGTTTACGAGAAGAATACAGTATATCAGCCGCTCCTAGCAGCCGGTCTCTGTCCGGGGCCGCCCCTGCGCGCTCACGGCGCCCTGAGGGCAGCCCCGCCATGACGGAGCCCGCCCGTCTCCCCGGCAACGCTCCCAGCGTGCCCCGCGCGCCGCGGGTCCCGGCGGGCGGCGCGGCCGGCGGGAGGTGAGAGGCGCCATTTTTAAATCGCTCGGGCCGGCGGCAGCCGCGCCTGGCGGGGCTGTGGGCGGGGGTCCCGCTGTGCGAGGGGCAGCCGGGCTGTGCGGAGGACCGGGCTGTAAGGGGGGAGCCGGGCTCTGAAGGGGGCTGGGCTGACCGCGGCCCTCCTGCGTGCGTGGGGCCGCAGCTCTTGGCGGGTGGGGAGGCCCCTTGGCCTCTGCCCGGCCCCGCTCGTTCCTCCGGCCCGGCCCGGCCCGGCGCTGACGGCGCAGGCGGGGCCGGAGAGCCCAGCGCCGCTCTGTGCCCGCTGCTCCAGCTCCGGATCAGCCTGCTGCGACCTCCGGGGCCTGCCGCGTTCGCCATCCCCTGTGACACTTCAGGGGCAGGAGGAGCCCGCTCGCTGCAGGCCTTCAAGTGTTTACGCTTGTCTGCTTTGCTGTCCACCAGCCATCCTCAGCCACGTTCACTGTGAGGAAAAATGTTATTTTTCTGTGTTTCTGGATGTGTGTCAACCGTGTCAGTGTTATTCCTCTGACCGAGCTCCTATGTCTATAAGTAAAAAAAAAAAAAAACAAACAAACAAAAAAAAAAAACCAGCAAAAAGGTTACAGTGACTTATTTAGCTTGCTTGGCCTCTCACTCAGTCTTTGTCCATGCACTATAAGATCATGCTTCTGCCTACAGGAGGTGTGGGATACGTATGCCAATGTGAAACCTATGTCCTCCATGAACATCACGATTTTGGAGTCAATATGAAAAGGAAGTCATTTTTCAGAAGAGTTTTGGTTGTGGACTAGAGCTGTATTTGCAAAAAACATCCACTTTTATGCCAGAGTAGAACTTTGAATGAGATTTTAGTAAGTGAAAGTTAGTGTGTGTTTGAAGGTTTCTTGCCATGAAAAAACTAGAAAACATACATGGTGTGTGGAGACTGGCTGCTCCTGAATGCAGCTCAATTTACCAGGTGTAGCTCCCACTCAGAATTCAATTTGATCAGTAAATACTGTCAGTTTGACTTGGCTAAAGCACAAATTTTAACTCTGAGTTAAGAGAGAACCTTGTTTGTTGTTTTTCACCTAATAAGTGACCAGATCTGTAGTGTAAGACAGAAACGGAGAGGGTGGTACCATGTGCCGTGTGTAGGGATGAACACTGCAATAATATATGTTAATTGTTGTTGAAACTTTTACCTTCAACACTGTTGTGGAGGGAGTGGTAGTAGCTTGCTTGCCTGAGACTTCTTACAGAGGTGTCTTCTGTAATGCAGCTGTCATACAGGCATTCTCCAGTATTTCTGCACTCAGGTGCACAAAAGTGTTAAGTGTTTCTTTTCGGTGGATTCTGTGCAGTAACATCTGAGCAGTGTCTAGGTTATGGAACTCTCTATAACAAAGGATTTCCTGTTTCTCTTTGGTTTTGCCTCCCTAGGTTTTTTTTTAAGGTGATTGCTTTGACTGTTGCAAGTCTCTGATGGCACATCAGTAGAATATGGACTGTTAAAGTGAAATGTGGTGTGCTGTCACATTTCTCAAATTATATAGAAGGGAGTTGGGGTTTTTTTGTTGCATACTTGATGTTCATGGGAATTCTGATCTAAGTGTGTTGCATAATTGTTTAAGATAGGGTTTGTTTCACTGAATTGTGACTGTGTAAAATCTGGGTATCTAGTTCAAGGCTGTGATTTTGTGAACATCTGAGCTCTGTGCTGTGCCAGCTCTCTGCTCCCGAAAGGAGAAAGGCTTGCTCCTCCTCCTGTCTGTTTCCTTGGCTCTTTGTTCCTTTTCCCTAGTCCGTACCAGCTGCCCACTTTCACTGATGATGTCGCTCGCTGGATTTTTCCATGAGCTCGTGTGACTCACTGACCTCACAGAAGAACTATTGAGTGTCTTCTGCTTGTTCGAGTGTGTTGGCTTCTTGAGTTAAAGCAGTTCATGAAGGGGTCTGATGAATGACAAACACAGGAATAGGGACAAGGAAAGGAGGAGTGGAACCCTCCCGTTCCTGGTGACAGTGCGCTCTTGTGTTGGATTACACTTCTGCTTTAGATCATTATCTGGTCTTACTGTAGACTCGAGCAGAGATGAGAAGGGGTGGGGTTTGAAGAGTTGCTTTAATGAGGCTGTGCTTTCCTTGAAATTTTTGCTCTTTCAGGCAAATAGTTAATTGTTTCAGAAAATCTTGGCTAATTGGCTTAGAAAAAAAGAAAGAGCAAATAAAGAGGTCTGGAATTGTGACAGAAGCAGGCAGAGGAATTAGACCATGAATTGTGTGAAAAAGCTCTTGGACTTTCACAGATTTTATTGAGAATTTTACTGCTTGAGCAAAACTTGGCACAAGGCTAAATACTGTCAGTTTTTTAATTAGTTGCAAAATTATATTCATTGTATCATCTAGCTTTTTAAAACTGTGTTCAAACACAATAAATTTAAGTGTTTTAAGTGTGGCATGGAAAAGAGTTATGTATGGCACTCATGGGAGTGACCAAGACGTGGTGCACTCGTGTCATTTGGTTATGCCAGGTGAACAAGAAGGAAGCCTTGATGTTGTAACAAAATGCCATAAAAATTCATCTAAAGAAAAAAATCATATTGATATATCATATTTTTCTCTAAATGCAAGTATTCTCCCTCTTAAGAGCTTGTAGCAAAGAAATAGTAAAGTAATATAGCTGAACAATCTTGCAAAGGAAAAACCGCTTCATGATGTGCAGCTATAAAGAGGAGAGATGTCTAGTAGGTCATTCAGCCAGTGTTTCTCTCTGTAGGAGGAGAAATAATTGGAGAAGAAAGGCAAAACAAAGGTGATTCTTGGAAATGTAATTTATTTACTTCACTTAGCTATTCTACAGTGTTACAGTTTTACCTATAGAGTGTGCATTTCCTAGGTTTCAGGACTCTGCACCAATGCCTTTGTATTTATACCTGTGGCAAATGATGTTAAGGTTTCATAGTATAAATTTGGGATGACTGATACAAGTTTGCAGTTTGGCAGCTTGATAAAATTTGGCAAATAAGTAAGTGTAGAATTAAGTTTAGATATGATGGTGGGTTTAGTTTCTTTAAAGTATGCTTTATACTTCTCCGCTTCTTGAACACATCTCCAAGAGAAGAAGAACCTAGTATTCTTTTGAAGTATTTCTCAAAAATTATGGGTGTAGTCTTTGTGTAATTTTGAAGATTATTTAAGGCCTGTTCACTGACTGTGAGCAACTACTGTTAGCCATTAGCACAGAAGACATTCTGGTTGAAAATATACCTAAAGTATTTGTATCCCTAAATGTTGTTGACTATTGGCAGTTTTCTGCCAGAAATGATTTTGTGATGTGGGGAAAAGAACCCCAAAACAAGAAAAAAACTCTTTTGCATGTGAATAGGTTAAATATTACAAATTGCTCTTTGTGTTTTCGAGGAAAGAGCTCTCATGAAGTAATGAAATCTCTGTTGTCTCTTTCACAGTCGTCACCAGGAATGCAAATCATGACATTTGCCGCTAGATGTCCCTGCAAGCCAAAAGAGTTTTCTTTCCTTAAATACAACAGGTTTTTGCAGTCTGGAGCATTGTTTTGTCAGCTGCAATTATCTCCCTCTCTTTTCTCCTTTTATCTTTTTCATGAAATCTTCATGCATATGAATACATGGCCAGGTGTGTGTCTTGCTTTGTAATTTGTGCACTTTTTGATAGTAACGAAAGCTGTGAGGAGAGAATATATTTCTCACCTGCAGCAGCTTGGAATAAAGAGTACAAAAGGCTGTGCTCCAGCTTATCTTTTGGCTGACGTTGTCTCAGAAAGCATAGTGCTTTCTTGATGTCTTTATCTCCATTATGCCACTTCGAAATACTTCTTACTCAAGTAAGCAACAGGATTCAGACCCGGCTTTAAATGCTGTGTTCCTAATTCTGAGCTTTGGCTTGATAGTTACATTTAGTATCTATAGCATATGAAAGCAAAGTACTATTGCCTGGTTGTTGGGTTTTTTTGTTGTTGTTGTTTTGGTTTGTTTTTATTGTTTGTGTGGGGGTTTTGTTTGTTTTAATAGTGATTGTGTTAACCCTGCTGATATGGTTAGAGATTCTTAGGGACATGCTGTCTTGAATTTTCTCAGTGTACCAGAGCTTTCTCTCCTCTCACGTGATTTATTGTCTTTAGCATCACTGACCTGTTCTCCTCATCCAGCTGTTGGTTTAACAATTGAAAATGTCTTTATATTGAGTTTGAAAATTGCTGTTGTCCTTTGTTTCTCAACAGCAAACAAAATTCAGGGATGAAAAAGAGACTGCATTGATTAGAAGGATCTTCAAAACCTGTGTCATTAATGTTTGAAATTGGTTGTGCATTTAGGACAGTCCTAGAGGAGAGTGTTCTTTATTCTGATTTCTTCCTCTTCATTCTCTCAGCAAATTTGGGTAAAGCAGAATACAAGCTTGCTGTTGTTGCTTTGCCTAGAGTGATGTTATAAGTAGTAGATTTTTCTCTGACATTTTCTTGTTTTAGGAATGGAGGAAGGAAAAATGGGAAAGAAAGTCTTACATTTACCTTTTAAAGTCTTACATTTTACCTTTATCATGTCTTAGTGGAATGGGTGTTTTTTCCCCAGTATGGAAGATAGATTTTCATCTTGCTTATAGTTCAGGGGTTTATAAAATCAAATTGTAAATTTTTAAGGTACATCTATGAAAGAGTGCAGTGGTAGAAAATATGCATGCAACTGTGCATGTAAAGAAGGTGAGGTATTTGTAGTGATCCTAGGGATTTATCATAGTTTCTGTTTGAGTTTCACTTTGTATAAAGGTATACTTTGCACACTGCAGACATGGACTTCTTAGGCATCAGTCCAGCTATGCAAAAAGCTAAAATGGCAGAGTAATTGTTTTCAAAGCTTTGTAACTTCCCTAAAATTCAGTTACAGTTCTCCCTCCCCCAGATCCTGTAGAAGAGTCAGTAATGATCAGATTAATACCTATTGCTTCAAATATCAAAAAGCACTAATGAAGTATATTAGAACACTTCCTTATTTCTCAGGAACTCTTGATTTGTAGCTTTCCTCACACCAATCTGATATTATCACATTTTGCAAATGTCTTTCAGGAAAGGTCACAAGAAACCACAAGATAAGCTTTGAAAATAAGGAAGTGACATATTTCAGGACTGAACTGTGGGCAGGTGTCTTCCAGGCTGTTCCTGATACCTTAACTCTTCTCCAGAAAGGGCTTGATAGGAATTCAATAGAGAATTATCTGCTTTTCTTCCAGCTGAAATAGAGGTGTGTTGATTATTACTACATGTAGGGACAGTGTGACAGACTTTTTAATAAGTAGTAAGAACAGCTGTATGTCTGCTGTCTGTGACCTCTGCTTGATCTCTGATTAAAAAGGCATAATTAGGGCATCATGGCTGGAGTCTCAGTGCATAGCATAAGTAAAAATAACACATCATGTAATCTTTCAGATAGTAGTACTTGTTCTTATTTTGTATTGACTCAAGTGACCTTCATCTTTAAGTGTATTCTATACCCCTGGAAGCACTGTTACTTCTCAGGGCAGGCTGCATGAGCAGAGAAGAGTTGCACTTTCAGTAAAGTTTTCTAATCTGTGTTACAGCAGAACCAGGATTCTTCTGTACTTAAAGCAAAAGCAGTGTGTGAAACCTTTGAACTGTGAATGTTCTGGAATGCTAATTACATGTCCTTGTATTTGTTCAGGTGTCTTGATCTTCTGAGATGTCAGCGTAACGAGTGGATGGTCTTGTAGATTAGTTATACGTTAATCTTGTCTTCTCCATACCCATCTGAACAGTCCTCCTACAATGGATGGTTTGGGCAACCTCCTTCCTCTCGTGGGTGAAGGTGGTGAAGCAGCTAATTCACAAGAAATACTAAAACTTTTGATGGATGAAAAAATGCGTAGTGAACACCACAAAGCAAATTACCAAACTCTAAGGGCAGAACATCTAAGGTACACCAATTTAAACAAGTTTCTGTCTTTGAGTTGTTAAAAGTTGAAGCTAAATGTTGGAAGGGATTTAGTTGTGTGTGTGAGATGTGTGTTAGCTATTCCTGTGTGTAAGTAGAGATATGAATGTTGTTCATATTAGAAAATAAACAATTCAAAGTACCTTAAGACATTGCAGGTGATGTTTCTGCAGCACTTTTTAGGCTTATAAATGTGGGGTAGCTTTTCATTGTATTACAGAAAGAGGATATTAATAGCTTAGTTCTTATTTAGTGTCTGTATGTTTGCTTCTGTGTGTGTCTTTTGAGCTTTAAAAGGTGACTGTAAACTAAATATGTATTTTATCTTTCAGATTACAAGAGGATTATACCAAATCACAAGATGAACTGAAAAGGTTGTTAGTTGAAAAACAGACTGTACATGACAAATTTCAGCAGCTTCTTGCTGACTTTCAAGAGCAGTTGCTGGCTAAAACACAAGAGCTGGAACAAGTAAAGCAGCAGGTGAGATAATTCACTGGAAGCAATTGGTATGTATTTTTATCCTGTAGTAGGACCATGCATATTTTTCTGTTAACGCAGCATGCATATACCCAGCTTGGATATATTTCAGATGTCTTGAAATTCACCCCATCCAAGTAATGGCTCTTCTCTAGAGTGACTGTGGGTTGAAATTACTGTTTTCTTGTTTAACTGAGTCATCCAAATGCTGTTGTTAGGTGCTGTGTAAGACTCTCAGTCTCTATCTGTGCTTGCTCTGATGTTAAGAGGAGAATCATCTATCTTGGAGGGTAACTTAGGTGCCTAAACCTGTTAGGATAAGTGACTAGAAAGATAGATATTTGTTTTTCTTTGTGATGAAAGCTTTCTTCTTTCTTTTCCTTAAAATATCCCAAGCTGAAATGAAACAAAAAAGCTCCTCAACATTTAAGATAACTTGGATGACACTCTATTTAACTGCTTGTTTTCTTAAAGTAAAGCAGGACATGTTCTTAGGAAACAAATATAATCTCTAACTAAAGGATCCCAGACTCTGAATGGAGATGTGCCTCAGTACCATATCTAGGACTAGTTTCCAGGGACTTAAGGGTACAGATAAGTGAAAGAAAAGTAGAATAAATAAGACTATGTCACAGTTGTGGATGAAATTTTTTGTTTTAAACTGTTTCTTGGTAGATAGTTTGCTTTGTGAACGATATCAAGAAATTTTAACAAAATACCATACAGAATGGTATTCTTTGCTTACGGCAAGGAATCTTTCCTGATGGTTTTATTAATTCAAACCAGTATCCATGTACCCATTGGACAACACACATCTAATGTGCTTTGTAAATAAATGTTTGGTGTTGCTCATTTTGATCTTATTGGGTTGGTTCACTTACTGTTTAGGTGAGACATTAATTCTTTATCTTTTATGTGAGTCTGCTTTTCCTTCCCCCGTCCCCCACAAAGGAGATAAATCTCTTGGCAATTCAGCCTGAAATTTGTGTTGCTTCTACCGATAAATGCTGACATTCCAAATGCTTCTGTTATCTTCCCAGAATATTTTTAGTTCGCTAATACTTTTTTTGCTTCTGTAACTACTATTGAAATTTCTTGAGAAAACCAGAAAATTAGGTAAAATTCCTAAAATCATATTTGAAATACTTTATTCCTGGCTATTGACCTATCACAGCGTAAATAACTGAATATGACTAATTATTTGTGATACTTTTCTGTTTTAAGGTGCTAACTCCTCAAAAATTAGAACGGTTAAAAGCAAAAATATATGAGGAATTGGAGTCTCCTATGAGAGAGCGCTATCAGAAGCTAGAAAATGTAAGTCATAAGTATCGAAATTTTATTTCATTTAGATTAGTGATCACTACTTCATAGTTGTTCCTAAAACCTTAGGAAATTAAAACTGAAAGAAGAGCAAAGTATGGCATTATTTCTCTGGTACTGTTGTCCCAGGCAGGGAAGGTTGAAATCATGGAAGAGAGAGGAGGCAGCATTTGGTTAATCAAATATATCTTGTGAAGCAATAGGAGCATTGAATGTACATTTAAATAAAATAAATTTGAGAACTTTCAATTTTTTTTTCTAACTTAGGAAGTAGAAAAATACAGAACACTATATAACAAACTTCGTTATGACCATACCTTTCTGAAATCAGAATTTGAGCATCAAAAGGAAGAACATGCACATATTTTAGAAGAGAAGAAAATAAAATATGAGGCTGAGGTACGTAAAATATTATAGTAGCTTAGCAAGTATCTCTGACAAAGCTGCTTGAACACTGTGGAACTGTTGGTACTTGAAGGGTTGTCAGTTTGACTCCATTTCATGTTTGTTTCTCTTAATTCTCAAAGCACTTCTGTGACTTAGCCTAAGGCTGCCTCTGTAGATTTGTTCAGTGGTGGGTTGCAATATTATTTGTGCTGTTAAAAGTAAGAATAACTTGCTTTCTGGTAAATGACATTTGCTTAATGCTGTTTTTAATCACATTTGTGATTTGCAACATAATGCTAATTTGAAATTAATAAATTATCTGAGTAACCAATGTAAGTTTAGGATTTAAATTACTTGTGTAGCAACTTTTCAAGGAAGATATATTGTTAATAGCAGGTAAGGGTACTTTGCAATGTACTTACATGATGTTAGTTTGGATCTAGATAGTGATAAAAGGATACCGAAAACTTTGGTAACTTTATTTCATTTTTATTAGCTCCTGAACAAACCATTTGTACATTTCTTTGGACTTTCGAAAGCGTAGGTAGCTAAATAAATTGCCAGCTTATTTATGTTTTAAATAATACATCATTGTAAATGAGTTGCAGATGTCATTTGCATATCCATTTAAGTATTTGTCTGGAAGCATATATTCTAAGATGCCAGATTTGAATGTATTACTCCAAACATCAGACACAAATCAAAGCAATCATCATATGCAAAATCAATCCAAGTTTGCAAATGCAGTGCATTAAAAACAGAACAGTTGTCCTTCCTGGAGCTAAACCCACATGCTGCTTTACAGCCTGCCTCTCTCATGGGCTTTGTGAGTTTTTGCTAGTCCTGCAGCTAATTAGCACATTTACACAGAATGCAACTACCTTGAGCCCAGGGCACAGTGTGATCTGGTTTCTCTCAAAGGTTTTTTAACATTACATGTCATTTTGCACAAGGAGGCTATAAAAACATCCTAATTCTTAAATGCTGGCTTGGGCATATAATGCAATTGAATCTCCTCATTTGGAGGAGGCATTTGGAGGGCTTTTGCTGCTGAAATCAAGTTTGTTCATAGAGAACGCTGGTGAAACTTTTAAAAGGACTGCTGCAGATCAGAGTTTGGACTAATAAATATGGAGAGAATTCTTACATACCTTTTTTTCTCTCTCTTTTGGCCCCATTTTTATATTCAGTCTATGTAACTTAATTTTGAAATGTAACAATCTATGAATTTATATGTTTGTTAATTATACTCTCCAGATTGGCTTGTACCTTTTGTACTACTTTGTAAGAGAGAGTTGGGGTTTTTTTTTTGTTGTTGTTGTTATTGGGTTTTGGTTTGGGTTTGTTTGTTTGTTTGTTTTTTGATTTACAGTCTGTTGGGGCCCAGTCATATTGGCTGTCTGAAGTTATTAGCAGATTTGAGTTCTGTGGTAATTATAAAATAGTGGAATCATAAGACAAGTTGAAAGACACTCTTTATACTCCAAAATCTTGTTTAAAATATTGAAGTGTAATGAGATCAGATTGCTCAGGTCCATGTCCAGCCAAGTCTTGAACATCTGCAAGGATCAAGATTCCATAATTTTTCTGGGCAGAAATGCTCTTTCAGTATTTAACCATCGTCATGGTAAACTTTTTTCATAATACATAATTGGAACTTCACGTGTTCCAAATTGTGCCTGTTGCCTCTCTTCCCATCTCTGTGCATCTTCTTCTCTTCTCTGAGCTGAGGCTTAGTTCTCTCAGCTTGTCCTTATATGTCGTATTCCTCAACCCTCTGAACACCTTAGTGGCTGTCTGGACTTGACACAAATTCCAGATACAGTTTTACCAGTACTGGAAGGGGGACAAAGGATCACTTCCCTGGATCTGCTAGTTATCCTTCTGCCAATCTGCCAGGATTGGATTGGGTGCTCTGCTGACTGATGTTTAGCTTGTTGCCCACTAGGACCCCCCAGATCCTTTTCCATGGAGATGCTTCCTTGACAACTGCTGTGAGCCTGTACTGTTGCATTGGATTCTCCATCTCAGATGCATGTCTTGTTCCTGTTGTTGAAGAGGATCCAGCTGTGTCCATTCCTTCAGCTTGTCCAGATTCTTCTGGATAGCAGTTCTGCCTTCCAGCAGATTGACCATTATTTCCCCCCAGTTCGGTGTCACACTCAAGCTTTCTGAAAGTGACTCCATGCCATCATCCAGCTTGCTAATGAGGACATCAATCAGTGTTGCACTCTGTAGTGTTCCCAAAAAGATCACACTAATAACAGGCATTCAGGTGGTCGTGCTTTAAATTTCCTACTCTAAGCAAATGAATGTTTAAATGTCCACTGCTGCTCTTTTCTGAATTGTTAATTACTGTAATTGTTGCTGTCTGACACCTAACCGATGTAAGAACTTCTTATTTTTCTGATTAACAACTATCAGATTGCAAGACTGGATAAAGATAAGGAAGAACTCCATAATCAGCTGCTTAGCATTGATCCCACAAGGGACAGTAAACGCGTGGAGACACTTTCTAGAGAAAAGGCACAACTGTGTCAGAAATTAAAAGCCTTAGAAGCAGAAGTAGAAGAACTAAGAGCAGAAAGACACAACAGTGTTGTGCAAGCAGAAAATGTTCAAAGAGTACAAGCACGACAGTTAGCTGAGATGCAGACCATGATGCGGTCTCTAGAGGTAAGATTTTCTTTTATTATTTTGCCTCCCTGTAGAGTGCAGTAAGAATAGCACTTGGCCTGACAGAACTGTCACTGAAATCACTAATAATTTTGCCATTGACTCCACAATTTGAATTTCTACATTTCAGGTTTAAAATCAAATTGTAGTTGACTGGGAGTCATGCACTGCCAGTTCAACTTTGGAAATTCTCTCAACTGAGAGATTATGCTGAATGATCTCCTTTCTAAACAAGCGAGTCATATCCATATTTGTAGTCAATAAGAAAGGCTGTGTCTTGCCACTTAGCTGGACTTGGAAACCAATATGTTAATAATCTGCTGCAGTAAATTCTTTATTTTCAAAAATGTCACATGCTGCTTCTCTCTTTAATCCTTTCCTCATCTGTCATCGTTTTTGCTTACCTATGCCTCTTCTTTCTCCACCACATGACTGCAGTTGTGTAGTACTCAGCTGTTGCTCTCCTTGGTATTTCTGGGCTGTTGCACTTTTCCCAAAATTCCACTGTCTTCCTCGTTTGTTGTCCTCAGACCTTCTGTCAGTCCTTGCTACCTCTCTAGGTAGTGAGCTTCTTCATCTGGATTCTTCACACAGTTGCAGCATGCAGATGGATGGTTCATTTTCTTTTTTACTATTATCAGTGCAGTATACTTCAGTTATGAGATGCTCTGATCTCATCTTAAAAAGTGCTGTCATCTTCTTAGACAGCTTTAAAGAGAGTCCTGCTGAAAACAGAAGTGTTTAGAAAAAGGAAGGTGAAATCATGTATTAGATTACCTTTTTGATATTCAGTAAAGATCAGAGTCTATAATGCAGTAATTGCATTTCATTTCCTCTCCAGGATGTTAATTCTTCTGTCAGTGTGACTGCATAGGCCAGCGTATAACACCATTTGTAGTTACACTGTTTATAGCCCAGTAATTTACTGGTAAGCTCACCTGCTGCCTCCTAACCAGGTCAGATTACCACCACTCCTTATCAAGGAGGATTGAAAATGAGAGTGATTCTATACAGGAGGTGTTAGTAAAAATAGTTGTGACTTTTCAGTAAAATTCAAGACCCTTTTTGTATTGGAATATATGGTTGAGCAAAGATTAATATTTATATATTATATTATATATTATTATGTTATTATTATTAATGAGTCAGTAATATCAGAAAGCTCAGATCAGTCAAACATTTCAAATAAGTAACATGAGGCAACCCAGCTCCAAAAATCTTAAAAATACTTCCTTCATTCAAGGCAGAAAAGAAGTCTGCTGAACTACAGGTTGATCGCATTGAGAAAGAACTGCAGATGAGTCATGAGCAAAACATTCTCTTAACTAGCAAACTTCACAAGTCTGAACGAGAAGTCAATTCCTTAACTGCTCAAGTAAGTGCTTTTGTGGTATCTTAAATGTTTTTCACATCCTGTTACATTTTTCTGCTTATATTTTAGACTAAGAATAAAGTAACAAGGTCTTCTGCTGTGATTTAAAATAGGTATGGAATTTTTCCCTCAGTTCCAGTTGAAAGACAAAGAATATGTGACTTTACAGGAGAAATGTCATACCTGAAAGTATCTCTAAAGAGTGAGGTTATGTTTTTATTACTCCATCTTTTTTCTGAACAGAATAAGACTTTTGAAGTGGTATCCTTATATTCATGTTTTTAATGTTCATGAAAACAGTCAGCTTTAGAGCTTTAAACTGATCTTTCCTTTTTTTTTTTTTTTTTTTTTTTTTTTTTTTTTTTTTTTTTTTTTTTGGGGTTTGGCTTCTGGAGATCTTAAAAACTATCCTGTGAATGGGCTGTGTTAGCTACAGGAAGCAAGCTGCATTGGAGTTACTTGTGGAGATTTAGGTTATATTAGAAGCAGTGTAGTCACACTAGCACAGCCTTTTTCTTGGGCTAATGCCAGCATAGCTTGTACAGAAACATTTCGGTACAGAATTGCACCACAGTCTTTTAAGTATTTTTTACCATTGTCTTGAAACATACTTGAGTAACTTGGTTGGGTTGGCACCAGATCTTAGAGGTTTTGTTCTATGTTTGTACACTTTTCTTTTTTTTTTTTTTTTTTTTTTTTTTTTTTTTAATCTTTTTAAAGTGCATATTTATAAATACTAATTATTTAATTTTGGTCATTAATTTAAAAAAGTTCTAATTTACCATAGGAATAAGGTCCAGCTATACCACTATTTAAAGCCTGCTTATGTAACATACCGTACTTAGCCCCCATGAATGCTAAAGAGGAGGGGAAAATTTCTGGTAAACGTTTTTCTGTGGTTTCTCAGAATATATAGAAGATTGTTACAGTCTTTATTTTTTGTATCAACTGGTCTTCTCTGCTCCTCTCCAGAAGCAGGGCAAAATAAAATGTTACAGTCATGTTTCTCAAAGGCAGGAAAATAGAAGCTTTACTAACCTCCACCTGCTTCTGCTCCCACTCAAACCTATTCCTGAGCACAGGTGCATGTTTGTCTTCTGGATTTTCTGCCTTAAAAAAGCCACCTTAAATCTTTTCAAGTTGCCCTGAAATGTTATCAACTTGATATATAAGCAACTAAATCTTCCATGTAGTTACTTAATAAGCTACTGTGTCATTCTTAACCTTTTGCCACTTGTATATGCTAGCAGGTTGTAATTACATTTGTCATTGTGAATGGATTTTCATTATAAGTGCTTTCCTCCAGATATTTAATTCGCATTGACCGTGTAATTACTGCGTTCAAATGCCTAAACTATAGAAAGTTTGCATGCAAGCAGTAATTTTCTTTGATTTGATGTTCTTAAAGCTCTTACTTTTATGGGGCCATTTGATGTGTCTGTAGAGCAGTATTTGATTTAAAATGCACTTTAAAACTATGAAGACCTGGATTTTGAGTAAGTAATGTAGCACTCCAGGAGGCCAGGGGGACTATAAGTAGTTTCCAAATTGAAATTTCTGTGGGAAGTAGTTGATACTCTGACTTTGGATATCACTGTTTTGATTTACTTATGGAGATGAAATTTAATTTTATTTTAGCTTGACTCTGAGGTATCTTTAATCAGAAGTGAAGTAAGTATATATAAATTTATTATAGTTAATTTGGTGTTGGTTTTTACTAATTCATAGGTAAAAGAACTTAAACATTCACATAAGTTGGAAGTAACAAATGTCAAACTGGAGGCAGCAAGAACAAAGAGTGAAGTAGAAAGAGAGAGAAACAAGATTCAAAGTGAAATGGATGGTAAAGTATGACATTATTTTGTAATTATTTCATCTGTTAACTTCAGTTAGAATAATACAACTGTTGTTTTCTCTGAACGCTTCCCAGCAGTCTTCAACTTCTACTTCTGGTCTAGGTCATAGATCTGACAATTCATTTGGTATTTTAAATAATTGTGTTGTTTCACTTGCTCTACTAGGCGAAGAACAATTGAAAGCAGTTTTTCATTTATGTAAATTAGTGCATTTGTGACACAACTTGTGCATAATCTGTTTCAAATTATGTACTTCATATGGTTGGTTTTTTCTATTATTGCTAAATTCTCGAGTCTTTCATACTCTGCTTGAAACTGTATTGTGCCACAGAGTTTCAGTGGTTGGGGGTTTTTTTGATTCTGTGTCTGTGGAACTGATACCAATTCCATAAGGCTGCCACATGAAACAAAATACAGTACCTAGGTCATTCTTTGAAGGAAACAGGCATTGCTCTAAGATACCTGATGCACCTGAGTATGTAGGCAACTTGAAATAGCTTTCTAGAGTGAAAAGGCCAAAACTTTCTTCTACTAGTTGTGTTTAAATCACACAACTACACAATTACACAGTTTTAAAGAGAACTGTCCTCACTGATTGGCCATAGCCCCAAGACAGTACCTTTATCTTCCTGAAATAATTGTTTCTGTTCTCTTGCTTTAATATTAAGTTGGCTAAGAGCAATGAAAAAGTGGCGTTTTCTGTATTGACAATATACTTACAGCGTATTGCAAGCTAGAAATGTTGGACCCTATGAAATATGAAACTGAATACAGACAAGATTTAAGTTAAGCTGGACTTACTGTGGAATTCCATTTACTTTGCTTGAATTAACTAAATAACCAAGAGTCACTGTTAGAGCACGTTGGCTTATTTGCCAGTGAATACAGGGATCAGTTACAAGATTTTAGTTTTGTTTAATTTGTCCCTGCCTACAAAGTCATGGTTTTAGAAATGACTCATTTGGTAATATAGGTGGATTAAAATTGAGATTTGTTGTAGCCCAGTTACTGGTTTCACTGACAACCAGTTTCTGTTTACTGTTGACTTTTCTGGAAAATGAAAATTTTCTTGCTTGACTTTTGCATAGCTGTTGTGGAACACTTTTTAAAATTTTAAAATCCAGACACAAATGCTTTGTAGAAACTGCTCTGGGGTTTAAATCTGTAATAATATTAATTGTTTAGTTACTTTTGTTTATTAAAGTAAGAAACTCTCATAGACCATTATTCCAGTGTAATGGTTACTTTTCGAAAGTTTTGGAAATGTAACTCTTATATTAAGAAATGTCTCTTCTTGTTTTCTTGTGTTTTGGTTTTTTTCTCCTTCCCCCATTCATTCTGTCACTTTTACCTCCCTTTTGTGAATTTATAAAGTTATTTGAATATAGGGTCCTATCAGGTTCTTATCAATAATGACATGTTTAACTTTTTTTAATGTATAATGCAGGATTGCTGTCTGACAAGGAAATTCTTACTGCAGCTGTTGAACGTCATAAAGTGCTTTTAGTAGAAAAGGATCGGGAGCTAATTCGTAAAGTGCAAGCTGCCAAAGAGGAAGTTTTTGACAATATTGCAGTCTTACAGAATGAAAAGTATGTCTGCTGATTTCCTCCTCAGTTTCTAGAAGAGGACTGTTTTGTGATACTTTTAAAAATATCACTCTTAACTAAACACTTCTGACATTTTGTAGTGATTCTTGTGTGTATGTTGAATAATGTTTTAGATTAGAACTCGAAAACAGATTAGCTGATCTAGAAAAGATGAAACTGGAGCAAGATTCTTGGAGGCAATCTGAAAAGGATCAGTATGAAGAGAAACTACGGGCTGTGCAGATGGCAGAAGAATCTAGCAAAAAGGAACTTCAGCGTTTGCGGTAGTGTCACTTTTCTAATCTTAGCACAAATTTCTCATTTTCCCCTCTTAATGTCTTTGCAGTAGACAGTATAAAGGCTTACTATTCATAGATACAGAAATCTTCATTATGTAGTGTTCATTAATGTAGATTAAATAAAATTATCTTTTGCACTATGTGAAAAAGAACACAGAATTAAAAATTAACTGTTTGAAACGATAACTCTTTTCATCCAAACCTTTAAGTGTTATTTTCAATGACCATTTTGAAGTAATAATTTGGCAATACACCTTTGTTAAAACTAGTTTAGTGTGCTGGCTGCTGGCATAGTCCAGTGCTAGAGTAGACCATTTCTCATTCCACAATGGCACCATAGCAGCAATTGGCAATCTGAGACCCTAACATGGTATCTCTGAGTTGGCTATTATGGTTGGGAGTTTACTTAGCTTACAGTTGAAGGTCAGCATGATAAAATGAATCATACTCCAAAAGTCTTATTCCTATGTGAATTGTGAGAATGAATAGAAATATATTTTCAACACTTTCTTAGTTAAATATTGATCAGCCTTTCAGATAATGCTATTTATTTGTCAGGCTGATTTGTCCTAATTTATAGCATCTGTGTTTTGATTAGATAAAAATAAGGATGTCTTACACTATTTTAGATTAAAAATTCAACAGCAAGCTATACAGACAAAAGAGCTGGAAGAAAAGAAATGTGAAAATGCTAATCTGAAACAGGTAAGGTTTTATTGCATTGTAATGTTTTATAGAGAAATACATTCTTTTGTAGTAACCATGTCCTGTGTTTGAAGATTAGATTGAATTTTTAATGCTTTTTTTTTTCCCCTGAGGCATGAAATATGTAATTCAGATATTTAAAGGAGAAGTGTTCAGAAATCAATTGTGCTTTCCTGGGCCTCTATAAAAGGATTACAGTTTTTTGCTTCATGTGTTTTGTGGGTAACAGGGATTTCAAAGCTGAATGTTTATAGACTGGTATATTGAATATGGTTATGCACTATTTAACTGGAGATTCAGTTGCCATGGAGACTTATAAATTGTTTCTAGGTAATGCTTTGCATTTACACTGTGTCTCTCATCTGAGGTTCTTCGAGTGTTTAACAGATGTTTCATAAATGAACAAACTAGTGTAAAGAGGTATATTTCTATTGCAGAGTCAATTGATGGCAGTGTTGAAAATCAAACCTATTTTTTTTAACTCCTGCTTGCCTGCGATGTTATTTAGTAGGTAATAACAATAGCTGTGCATCAAAGTACTCTGAAAGCTGAGTGCACTTGAAGTTCAAGACAATTATTTTTTCCTCCAGAAATCAGAAATTGAGGGATCTAAATGTCCATGTGGGGGGAGGAAAAGGAAAGGGAAATGATCATTTGTATATGCTGGCTGCAGAGGCTGGACTTTTCAGTGCTTCCTTGTTTTGTGAACTGGTCAGTACAGTCACTGTTGGCTGTAACACTCCCTGTGATGTGAGACAGAAGAGCCTGGAAAGCCCCACAGCTCTGCTACTAAGTATTTCATGGTCCTGGAGTTCTGTTCAGGCCTGGGGCTGAAGCGTTGGATTTCTGAAATTCTGGGAGACATTTCAGCGGCAGAGGTGTCCTGCCTATCTTTCTCATTTTAACTACAATAGAAACCCTTTGTCTCATAGTGATTTACTGTAAAGCTTCTGGAGAAACAGTTGAGTAAAGAGAAAAGAAACAAGTAAAAAAGGCTGAGGAAAAGCTAAAGCTAGTTGGTGTCTCCATTTTGCATTGTCTCAGTATCTCAAACTCAGTTGCTGGTTATTTGCATACCTTCTGAAATAGAAAAAATCTTTTTTGTTTTGCTAGCAAATAAATGATATCCAACTCCAGCTTGCCTCACTTTCTCAATCAGAAAAAGATTTGCTGGAATCTAATCAAAAGTTGAAGGAAATAACAGAGAGATTGAAACAAGAATGTCAACATGCAAGGGCTCAGGCAGAGAAAGCTCAACTGGAAACAGAGAAGTAACTTTTCTTTTGGCTTTACTTTTCATGCTGCTTGTGTTCTTCTCATATGGATTACTTAACTGTGGATTGTAGATTCTGAATAAAGTCAGAAAGTTAAAATGAACAGGAAATACTGGACAGTTGTAAAAAATGGCTGTACATTCTGTGGGCATAGTGTATATAAAAACTTCCGTCATGTCACCTTTAAAACCAGGAGTTTCTTTCCATTCGTATCTGTCAAAATTAATTATTGATTAATGAGATACACTGCTTGCATAAAATGAAATTCTATTTAACTGAAGTGGGTGTCAAACTTCTGTAGGTATAGATAGATAGATCTAGAGTTTCAGACAGTTCTTTTAAGAGTGTTTAAGCTGTACGTGTGAAAAGAGCATTCAAGCATTGTATTATGCATGAAAAGGTTCCATGGTCCCAGTCAGTATATGTGTGAATACTTCTTTCCCTTTCCCACTAGCTACTTCTAGCAGATAGAAGGTAAGTAAAAGCTTATAGAATGTCTTCTAGTTCCTCTCATCAAAATTAAAAATCATCACTTTGCTTTTTTTGCACAAGCTTGACTGCATACCATCAAAGTATGACAATAAATGATGAAGGAAGGCAATAAACGATGAAGGAAGCCAAATTTTATTCAGATTCTATATTTCATATAGAAATAAACACTTTCCTGGAATTTAAAGATCAATTTGTCAGTCTGAAATAGTTTTTCAGAATTTCCTAGTTTAGTAACCAAATATTTGTCTAACTAGTACTCAATTATTGTGTGGTGGTTGCTTTAAAAAGTCAGTGTCCCAGATTAAATACAAAACTTCCAAAGGGTATAATGTAACTTTTTTTTTTTTTAACATCTCTTTTCCTACTAATTGGTGCTGCAATTGCTATGTTGTCATTAGTTAGAGTAGTGCTTTTCAACTTTATATTTGAAGATATTATTTCATTTGGACTGCAGAGTGTGTCACTAGCAAGCACATTAACTACTTTGGATGTTTGCTTTAGGGAGGTGTGCCCACATGTTGAGTAAGATCGTTGCTGTTACTTGAATGACTGTCATTGTCATTTACATATTTATGGATCACAAAACAGTCAGGACTAGGTTTTCCTGAGTAGTGGTGGATGCACTAATGCTAGGTCTTCTTAAAATCTGCTACACAGAATCTCACAATTTAATTTTAATTTTTTACAGCAATGTAATTAAATATGCCATTAGTTCTTGTCTAGTTTGATTCACAGTGCAGGTAACCCAAACAAGCAAGGCAGCATGGAGAAACAGCTCCTTTCCTATACACTGCTAGAGAACACAGCCTAATTTTAGTGTGTTGTAACCATGCAAAAGTCTAAACAGATAACATATGCCTTTGGTGGTGTGTGTTCAGCTTGGGTGTTGTCTAGAAACCATATCAGTGGGAACTTCTTGTAGAGCTGGTGTTTGTTCTGGTTGGTAGCATGTCCTGAGCAAGTCTGTTACAAAGGTTTAGTAGACCCCATAGGGCAGCACCCTGCTCTCCTAAACAGAGAAAGGGGTTGTCAACTCTTTTGACAACTGATGTTTGGAATAGGAATCTGCTCTTGTGTTCCGCTGCAGTGGTTTGACCTGAATTGAGGAATTTTCTCTGGGTGGTTTGGCAGCATGCCAATCCAACAAGGCACCAACAATTTGCTTCTTGGAATCAGTTTTCAAAATGATGGTTGAAGAAATCCTAGGATAATGCACAGGTTCAAATGTCGTAGTCACAATTAGATTGTTAACATAATCAAATTTACATCAGATCCTTTAAGTATATAAAAGTAGGTGTTGTGAAAAGATGCATCTGTTTCAAGAGTCTTAAGGTATTAGCTGAACATGCTGCTTTGTATGACTCTTGATTTTTTAACCTGATTTTTCCAAAGGACTTCAGAATACCAGCGTATGGAATGGCTGCAGGAGAAGCATGTGCTTACTCAGCACATCGCGGAGTATGAAGAGAAATACAAGCAAATGAAGAACAAGCTATGCCGAGCTGCTGTTGCTCAGAAAAAGGCACGCTGTCTCTTCCTTTTTGAGTGATCCAGTCTGTGTAAAGTTCAACTTTGTTGGCCAGCTAGAATTGTTTCAATGTTAAGAGTTTATTTGCAGTCTACCATATATAATAACTAAATATATTGGGTTCTTCAAGATTAGCATAGAAATAGGTTGATTGACACGCAAAAGAACATTACAGCCAACAACTTCGTTATAATGCCATCAAAGATTTTGTGAGGCTTTCTTTGCATGTACATGTGCATTGATTGTTAAGAGGTGAGAATGATACTAGATACTAGACAAATGTTCTTCTACTTTTCCTTGATGGAAGATTCAAATTTTATTTCTTCTCTTAATCTTACTTGTTATGAAATAGTTTGGAAGGAAGGCAGGTTGTAAAACCTCAAGATTAATTAGTGGTGTTATACATTGAACATAGGTTATGAAACCTACCAGTATCTTTTAAGGTCATGGAAAGTTAAGATCAATATGAGAAAAAAACAAAGAAAAAAAAAAAAAAACCAAAACCAAAAAAAAAACAAAAAAAAAAAAAACAAAAAAAAAAACCCAAAAAAAAAAACCCAACCAAAAAAAACCATCAAAAAACAACAACAACAAAAAAGAGGCATACTTTTTTGGTTATGTTTACTCATTTCTACATGGTCATTTAAAGGATGACTATTGTGATTTTCAGATACCATTAATGTTTGTTAGTACAACTGGTCACTAACCAACAAGTGACTAGCAGCTGTGCCTCTTTCATTCCCAACTATGGATCATTTTCCATCTCTTCTGCTTCCCAGCATGGCAATTTAAGCACCTTCAAACAATACAACATCTCTTCTTAAAGAAGGACAATCCTATTACGTGTCACAGCTTGAAACCACATACAATTTAGATTTAATTTTTACAGGATCTAATCTATTAAGGTATTACTTAGCTGTTTGAAACATCTGTTTGACAGAGAAAGACTCTCAATGACAATAAACAAAGGAGGATGCATGAGAAAATAGAACTTTTGGAAGCCAAGATGGAAGAACTAGAAAAAGAAAATCAAGTGTTAAATAGGTAATAAACTTTGCTTTTTCTTAGCTTGAAAAATTATGTATATGCTCAAGGTATGACTTACAAATATGGAGTATTTTTGAAGATATATGTTTCCTAGATTAGTAACCAGAGTCCAGTCTAATGGCCTTTGCAGCACTAGAATTCTTTGAACAGATTCTATTTAGGATGGGCAGCTGAGAACTTACGAGACAGCTGCAGGGATGTCTCTTCAAAAAGAAAAAGAGGAAAAAATACCTTATAGGCACAGTTGCAGGAATCCCTTTAAAAGAAGGAAGTGAACAAGACTTCAGAATTGCAAGAAAAACAGACATGGCATCCTCTTTGAAAGATGAAGTCCTCGTTTTTCTCTTTTCATTGAGCCCCTATGGAGGGCTTGATTTTAATAATTAATGTGGCTTCTCTGACTCATTACTTTGAATGGTATTAACAGCTTAATTTATTTTATGTAAACTCTAAGCTGTAATAGAGCAGATAGCTATATATGTAGAAGGATATTTAGACAGACATGTAGGCAGAAGAACATACACAGTTCTTCTGTGTAAGGATAGGTAGAAACTGGAGGTGTTAAACAGCAGAGCACTCGTGGAGAGCTGTGCTGCTGTGTTGGGATAAAAAACATCTTGAGCAATAAGAAATCTGTTATTTCCTAGACAGAATGTTTCCTCTGAAGAATATGCTCGCCTTCAGAAGAGGCTGAAGGACCTGCAACGTCGGCACAATGAATTCCGGAGTATAATTCTGAATCCTGACCTACCGTCACTCAATGCAGTCGGTGTAACGCCATCGTCTGCCTTGCCTCCTGGGCCTGCAGCGTCCTTCTCCTTTCTTCAGGTGGGGAGATATTACAAGCTGTGAAAATAACACAGCAAAAGAGGATACTGAAATAGTTCTTTTTTACTGACCTTAGTCTTAAGGAAGGCGTATTTCATCTTTGAACAGAAGTAAGAAATTTTGAGTTATCTGGAGATGCTCCCTTCCTCGCGATAGGAAGGAGTACTTGAAAGACAAAGGATATGTTACAGAATGTAACAACTGGGTAGTTTTAAGCCAGTTCTCCATACTTTGTCCTTCCCCTCAGAGGCTTTAAATGGCTCCTTCTGAGCAAGAAATGCTACTGCTGTTCTCACACCATGGTTTCATTATTACACAGCAGTATTGCTGCTCTTGATTTCTTGTGTGGTTAAAAGCATCTTAGGCTGAGCTACTGAGGGTGAAAATCTCTCAGGCTGAGGTTGACCAGGTTGACTTTACAGATTCATGGTTACTGAGACCTCAGTTTTGTGTGCTCCTTCATCTGAGAGGAGGAACATCTGCAAATGTATTTCTTCCTGATACTGTTCATCAAGAATATCAGAAAAATACTCATGAAACATTCATGAGTAGAATTTAACAAATAAGGATGCTTTGGACTTTACAGTTTTTATTTTCCTTAAAGAAAGTGAATGTATCACTCATTTTGGTCCCTTGTAAGTGTGCAAAATGTAATAGAGCCACATTTTTTTCCTTTAAATTTCAAGGAGGAGCAGCATCAAAGAGAGCTTGCCCAGCTTGGCAAGCGATTGGAAGAATTAGAAACCAGACAAAGAAAACAGCTGGAAGATCTTGGCCCATCTAGAGAGCGGGTAATGGTGGGATGCGGGGACTTGGCAAGAAATAAGATCACTGGAGAAGATGAAGCACAAAGTGAGGACTCCAAATAAAATCTGCATACTCTTGATGCTGTTAGCTTTCAATAACTTATCCTTTGTACATGCTTTTCATGTTTTGCCAAAAACGTGGCTGTGTGTGCCTGAATAGCATAAGATATATTCTGCATAGTTACCCCTTTGTGGCTCTACATGTTTTACTGCTGGGTTGATGGACCAGCAGGTGTAAGGACTTTTCTCACTGGGAGTCATAAAAAGGATATGCAGGGTTGTGATTCATGAGGGGGCTGCACCCTGAATTTGTGTTACCAGTGTGATGATATTTGGCATAGCAGCAGTTACAGGCTCAATATTGGGATTCAATTGCAGACAGTTTTTCTGGTCCACTCAACTTCCCACTTCTCTGAAGTGCTGCTTCTCTGGGCATGTGTAGGGGAAGTGAAGTCCCTTCCACTGTAAGCCAAGAGCAGGTTTGGGATGATTTGATTAAGCTGAATAGCCACAAGTCTGTGGGACCTGATGATGTGCATCTCAGGGTCCTGAGGGAACTGGCTGATGTTGTTGCTGTGTTTGGAAGTCATGGCAATCAGGTGATGCCCTGCGTGACTGGAAAAAGGGAAACATTGCTCCATTTTTAAAAAGGGAAGGAAGGATGAACCATGAAACTACAGACTGGTGTGCCTCACCTCTGTGTCTGGGATGATTATGGAGCAGATCCTTCTAGAAGATGTGCTGAGGCAAATAAAAGACAAGGAGGGCAGCCAAGGTAGCCACCATGGCTTCACTATGGGCAAATTGTGCCTGAGTAATATGGCCTTCTATGATGGAGTGACAGCAATGCTTGACAGGGGAACACCGACAAATGTCATCATTTAGACTTCTGTAAGCCTTTGATACAGTCCCACTTGACATGCTGATCTCCAGATTGAAGAGACATGGGTTTGATGGATAATCATCATTCAGTGGATAAGGAATTGGCTGGCTGGACACAGCCAGAGTTGTAGTCCAAGGCTTTATGTCCAGGTAGAGGATGGTGATGAGTGGGATCCCTCAGAGCTCACTCTTGGGACTGATGCACTTCAGTACCTTCACTGCTGACAGACAGTGAAAGTGAGTGCAGCCTCAGCAGGGTTGATGACGGGAAGCTGAGCTCTGCAGCTGACACAACAGACAGAAGGGATGTCATCCAGAAGTGGGCCCATGGGGACATTATGTAGTTCAGCAAGTCCAAGTGCAAGGTGCTACATCTGGGTAGGGAAAATCCCAAATGTGAGTACAGACTGGGGAAAGAAGTCACTGAGACCAGCCCTGCAGAGAAGGACAGTGGAGTTCTCATGGATGAAGGGCTGGTCATGAGCCAGCAGTGTGCATTCACAGCCCAGAAGCCCAACCACATCCTGGGCGGCAGCAAAAGCAGGACAAGGGAGGCTTCAGGGAGACATGAGTCTTCCAGTATCTAAAGGGGGCTATAAAACTGAGAGGGACTTTTTCTGTGTCCAGAGTGTGTCAGGACAAGGGGCAACAGTTTAAAACTGAAAAAGGGCAGGTTTAGATATTAGGAAGAAATCCTTTTCTGTGGAGGTGGTGAGGCACTGGAACAGGTTGTCCAGAGAAGTTGTGGATACCCCATTCCTAGAAGTGGTCAAAGCCAGGTTGGATGGGGCTTTGAGTAACCTGTACTAGTGGAAGGTGTGCCTGCCCATGGCAGGGGGATTAGAACCAGATGATCTTTGGTCCCTTCCAACACAAACCATTCTGTGATTCTGTGAACCATTGCCAAGACTCCTTCTCTATAAGGTTTGTTTTTCAGTTTTTTTCCATAAAGTCAAAACATTAAATAATCTTAGCACAAGAAACTTTGAAAATTGTTTTTCAAGGTTTGGGTTGTTTAAAATAAAACTGACATTTAATATAAAAATTCAAACCAGTTTTTTATAAATCCTTTAACACTTACTTGATAATATCCTCTTACTGCTTCAATGTGAAAGTTAATGTATGCTACTCTGTGTTGCAGTTTTGATTACTAACAATGCCATAATCCACATCTAGGTTGGTATTTTGATGCAGATAAAAAGGATAAAATGAAATTTTAAAAGCTCTGAAAACTTCTATTTGTTGCCCTTGACAATGTACATCTTGTATTTCTATAATGGGAATAAGCAATAATTAGATTTTTTAATATAATATAGCAGAGATTAGTATAAAAATTGCATTATGTAAATATGTCTGTATTCCTACTGTAATTTGTTAACTACAACAAAAATATTTATTCCAGTTTGAATATATATATTTTTTTTCAGTTCATTGTCAGTCCAGTAAAAGAAATTTGTGAAGGATCAGTTATTTATCTAAATGTTTTTACCTGATAATCCAATAATGATGACTTTCCTGGAACTGGAGGAATTTTTTTCTAGGTTTTGTTTGTTTGTATTTGGTTTGTGCTCAGTGTTCTTGTTTTCAATACACTGCAACAAAAACATGGGACAGTGAGAATACACTGTGCAATGCCTTGTAATAGGTTATTGAGTATTGCTGTTAGACTGTAGGAATAGCGAAAGAATGACACCAGCATCGACTCAGCTCTCCAGAGGCTGCATTTTTCACTTTCCATAGTGTGTAAGTATAAGGATTTGTCTTGGTTCTAGCCAGGACAGGGTTAATTTTTGCAGTACCTGGGCGGGGGCTGTGGCTGGGAGCTGGGGGTTATTCTACACCACCTCATTTTCCAGGGTCAGGGGATTCTTCTGGGTCATGTAGCATGCCAGGCTCCGTGTAGTGAGCAACGACGTGTAAATCTGCCTCCCTTCTACCCTCTGTCATTAGTACTATTGCTGTTACTGATCATTTTTGTATCTCATTGCTGTTTCCAGTAAGTTGTTCTTACTCTTCTTCATGAGCAAAGATCTCATGATCTTTACCTTTTCTGCCTCCAATTCTCCTCTCCATCCTGCCTCAGGGGAGGGGAGGTGAGGCAGTGGGAGAGCAGAGCATGGTTTCCAGTGTGTCAGTGGGAGAACTACATTAGGGAATATCATTCCTGAACCAGGGCTTTGCATTCTTGGGGAATTCGTTAAACTTCTCTGAGGAAAACAGTATAGCGATTAGAAGTAACAGGAGCTATTTCTGCTGCCTCCTGCAGTATGAACTTGTACAAAGTAACTCTGTGCCTGAGCCAGCTTTGCCAAATGCCATGGTCACCAGCATCCACCAGCACTGAAGGGTTGCAAAGAGCAGCTGTCCTCAGCTTCGTGTTTCTGTCCCCAGCTGCAGACGTGTCAGCAAGGTGCTCCCTGATGTCAGGGGGCAGGGGAGGTTTATACAAACCAGGCAAGACTTGGAGGGCAGGAAAAGGGTAATAGCAGGAGAAGGAATGATGGTCAGCACCTGGTCTGTGGGCTACCTTTTCCAGCTGGTCTCAGGGTTTTTTTTGTGTGAAAGCTTATTTCCTGTCCCTTAAGCACCTTCTTCTGAAAGAAGGATTATTGGGTTATTATCCTTTTTAACATGTTTAGTTTTTTAAAAATATCATCACCCTCAGATGTGATGGTTAAGTGGTGCAGTTGAAGTGAAAATCCTGAAGGCTGTGTGCAGCTGTGGCAGGCACTGCACAATCATCCTGTCCCTGGCCTCTTGCTGCTTCCCACAGGTGGAAAGGCAGCTGGGAATCCTCCAGCCCAGGGAATCCCCCTCCATTCGGACTCTGCAGGAGGTCACTGCTCAGCAGCTGCTGGAGTTTAGACCAGTGCCTCCCCTCCCCAGCATCACCAGAAGTTATATTGTACCTTCCTGTTCTTCTTCGTCCCAACTTCAGTGTGGTGGAAGTGTGCTGTGCTGACCTGCACGGCTCTGTCCTGCAGGGCTGGAGCTGCAGCACTGCTTCTCATCTGATGCCACTCTGTCTTACACTCCATTCCTTGCGTGACCTTGCATTGTTACCAGCTGTTTGGTTTCTTGTAACCATTTTAAAGTACACAATCAAACTAACCTCCAAATGCTTTTATTCTAGATAAACCCATACAAACACCAACATGTATTTGTCATTTGCACTTTTTAAAACCATTCATTTTAAACAACAGATTAACTTCTGTACAACAGGAATTACTTTACACATTAGTAAGATTTGACTTCAAACTAGATGACTGCAAAATAATGCTCTGTAAGCTAGTGTTAGAAACACGCTGTTTGCCATAGCACTTTGCCTGTAAACATGGGAAAGTAAGTTGAAGAGAAGTTCATTTTCATTTCTGAGGATGCGATTAGAACTGCTGTGTTGCCATATTACCCATAATAGTCAGAGGTGGTTCTTTTTCTCTGTGTGACAGTAATGGCAAATTGCAGATACGGAAGGTGTGCCAATGTTTTGTGTGCTGACCCAAACCTACCAAAAGAGCCACAATCACTTAATTATACTTCACATCACTTAGTGAGATCCACTTGATGGGCTACAAAGTCCCAGTATGACTTAAAAATGGTTTACTAACAGAGTGACGCTGCTTAGGAGGCTTGAATAAAAGGCAATAATCCTATTCCAGGCTGTAGTTAATGCTACAGGGCCTGCTTCAACACATACTTAATCTCTAGAAATCATTAAAGCTATTGTAGCAAACAAGCAGTAGTACAAATACAGAATAGGACTGATTTTCATTTCCTCATCAATATAAACACATATAGTGAAGTTCACAGGATCAGACCCACGCAAACAGATTATATTTTACAGCTTTTCAAGCAGAAATGTTGAAGTTGTTTTTTCTGCCTGTACAGAAGGTTACTGTTGAACAAAACTATCACAGTTCATTTGAATGCACTGCCAGCAAACACCTGAAGTAGAAGAGACCTAACTGGAAAGCGTAATCCGCTCCTGCCTCCCCTTCAGTATCAATTACTGTGCTTTTTCTGTTTATTTGATGCTGCTTTAAAAGGTTAGATTAAGAACAATAAAAATCAAGCCCTTACGTGCAGGTATTCCAAGCTTAAGTGCTAGTCAAGCCATGGTCCACTCTTTTAGACAGAGGGCAAGATAGGTTAGAGGTGGGTTGGTTTTTTTCTAATTAAAATTGAACTTATCAAAATACATTGTGCCAGGCAGAGAACTGCTGAAAGCACTGCAACACTGTAGTGCAGCGTCCTGAACAAAGCCATACATTCCATCAAGTATAAAGTGTAAACTTAATAGCAAGTGTAAGACTTGAATTTAAAAAAAAAAAACCAACAAAGCCATCACAGTATGGGTTGGTTGGTGGCTGCCCTCTCTGGTATGCAAGAGGAACAACTTGTGCAATCACATGGTAAGGAGGGGGCAGAGCAGCAGGACCGTGTTTTTGTGTTTGCTTTTCTCCACATTAACAGCCCGCCTTGCTTCTGCCACTGGGATTGTGCCTCGGGCCAGCTGCCTTTGTGACCAGAGCAGGCAGCATTAGCACCAATGCCTGAGCTCTGGGGCTCTAACTCAGCACCCTGTGACCCTCCGCTGCCTGGGAATCCTGTGCAGCCACCTCTGGCTGCCCACAGCCCCAGCACTGGCTTTCTGTACCAAACCTGGGTCACCTGTGCCATTCCCTCTCCCATGGGCCACTGTGCTACACCACTCACCTCCAGTGGTGGATCCCTCCAGAAATGTATGGAAATGTATCTCCTTGTCATGAATGCCTTACCTCAAATCTAAGGGCACGTGACAGCCTCAGAACGTGCCTCCTGTGACCGAAGCAGAGTCCAGGCTGACAAACCATTCCAGCTCTCTAGCAGAGGGTAGGGTTGCGCTGGTGCTGTAGCAGAGCTGGAGCCACAGCAGAAGCCACTGCACCAGCCTCATCCCAGCAGCACAGCCATGCCCCTGCTTTCCAGCTGGGCCGACTTTACCCACCAATGCAAGTGTAATGGACACCTTTCCTCCAAAACAGCCAAGCCTCAAAAAACCCCAGCCAGACTAAGGCAGACAGTTACTCCTCCCCACCCTAACCCCAGTCTCAAACCCTAGTCTTCCTGTTCTTAAATATTATTAAACCAACCTCTGACCTGACCCCCACACGCTGGCTTTAGGTCTGTGAGGCCCTTGTACACAGATGGCAAGGCTGGCCAGGACCATCAGCACTGATGCATGGGCTGATCATGCACCTGAGTACAGGTTTGTGCACCAAAGTGCAGCCATTGGCAGCTGCTTCATCAAATCACAAGTGTCCTGATGCAGTGCAGTTTCAGCTGTGAAGCTGCTCACAAGTGTTTCACAGCTTATTTAAGGATGGAAAGGTCAAAAATGTAAACACAGACTGATGGTGGCTGAATGCCCTTTTCCAAAAGCCTCCCTTCACCTCTTCCCCTCAGTGGTTCGCTTCACTTTGGACATGGAATTTCTAACCTGACAAAGGTAAGTCCTGCCATGTGGCACTTGGCCTTCCAACCTCACACCCACTCTGTCTGCTAAACACACTTATCCTAAGTGTCACTTTGGTGCCAGGTTGTTGTTGGGTTTTTTGTTTGATTTTGTTTTGTTTTGTTTGTTTTCTTTTATTTTTTTCCTTTTTTTCTCCTTTTTTTTTTTTTTTTGTTTTTTTGTTTTGTTTTTCACGGCGTTTATTTTTTCTGAACAGGAACTAGCGAACATTTGACTGGAAGGAAGGAAACTGCAGCTGACCCGTATTCTCACTCTCACAGTTTGCCAAGCTGCTGAAAGGATGTGGCGAAACATCAGCTTTTTCTCTTAAAAAAAAGAGGTAAGCAACTTGCAAGTTCATGTGGGCAACTCTGAACTTACAGTGTATTTTGCACATCTCCTATGTCCTTATTTTAAAGCAAGCAAAAAGCTTACTAGAAGGTATTTTTGAAACAAAGGGCTATGTGTGCTCAAGTACCTAAAAATGCTGACCCTGCCAACATTAGGTTCACTTTCACATGCCCCTGTGTGAATATGTAACCATGCCCATACTTCATTCCCAATCGTAGATTACGTGGAATGGTCAGAGTGGAGAAGAGTGTCCAAACGTTTCAAACCCTGTACATAAAGTCATTCAAAACAGTTTTGGGAGCAGTAGCGCTAATGTAAAATCCCCCACAGTGATGCTGTGAGTCAGTGCTCTGCTCAATGCCATTTGCATTTTTTCTTTTCATCAAATAAGGCTTTTACTTGCTGGAGCTGTTTCTGGACTTCTTCAAACCCCCGTTCTCGCTCGAGTTTGCTGACAATCTGTTAACAATTAGCAAAAGAGAGAATAATTTTTTTAATGCTTATTTTACTTGCTATTTTTCAAAGCCTGCTTTTCGGTACTCTAACAACTACTGACAGAAAAATGCATTAAATGCCTGCCTATCTGTAAACATTCTTTTCCGACTTTAACACTTTATTTTGGTAGTTTTCCCTTCA